CTTCTCTCTCTCTCTCTCTCTCTCTCTCTCTCTCTCTCTCTCTCACACACACACACACACACACACACACGTGTCCAGGCATCTAACTCATTATTTACCCCAACATATCTATTCCTGTCCATGCATGTGTCCATCTGCGTGTTTTGGCAGGGTCGAGGTCAGTCTTCTCTCTCTCTCTCTCTCTCTCACACACACACACACACACACACACACACGCACACACACACACGCACATCCAGGCATCTAACTCACTATTTACCCCTTCATATCTATTCCTCCATCCGTTTGTGTCCATCTGCGTGTTTTGGCAGGGTCGGGGTGAGACTCCTCTCTCTCTCTCTCTCTCTCTCTCTCTCTCTCTCTCTCTCTCTCTCTCTCTCTCTCTCTCTCTTCGCGACCTTCATATCTATTCCTCCATCCATTTGTGTCCATCTGCGTGTTTTGGCAGGGTCGGGGTGAGACTCCTCTCTCTCTCTCTCTCTCTCTCTCTCTCTCTCTCTCTCTCTTCGCGAACACATTTTTCGTCTTCCAAATTGACCTGCCATCAACTTGTCCTGTTTCTCTTCCGGGGGTGAATGTCGGCAAACGACCACAAATATCGACAAGCAGCGGGCGAAGTGGCGGGAAAACAGAGACGAACGGATAGGCCCAGTGACAAACTGGGCAACTTCCGGGCTCCCCCACCTACCACGCACTGCAGACGCCGACTGCCTCCCTTTCTCCGATAAATTGAACTAACTCTGATGAACCGCTGCGTTACTCACACCACAGAAGAGGAAAAAGAAGTTTTCACGTCTCCTCAGCGAGACGTCTGATAGCAGTGATCACCAAGTACGCATTACCTCCGTGACGCGTCTGATAGCATAACTACGACCCCACAGATCCACCGAAGTTGCAGATCCTCAGACGTTAGCCTCCCACTAAATAGAAAAGAAACCTAACCGGGCTTACCCCCTTGCCACACTCCCCCGACTGTTGCAGTCAAAGGGGAAGCCTCCCATCCTCGAAATTTTCGAAAATCCAGAACGGCAACCAACCGAACTATTCCCTCATCCATCTTTAGAAAACCAATCCAGGGAATGGGACGGAATGAAAGCGCTACCTTATCTATAGATCGACTTCCCCCATCTATCCCCTCGTCCGTCTTTATTAAAACGATCCAAGGAAAGGGACGGAATCAAAACGCCACCTTACTTATAGATACCTTATCTATAGATCGATTTTCCCCCGTGCATCATTATATCGACTCTTTGTGGAACGGACCAACCAATTTGCGTTTGCAACTCTTTTTCATGCAACTTAATCGAATGAGAGTGGCCTTCAACACGTAAACCAAGCCAAGTTCGACTCTCAGGGAAGTATCTATGCTTTGGTTCTTTATCGACCCCACGTAGGCTGTCTACAAAAGACTCGTGCACCAAGTTGCTCGTTCAAATCAGTTCCACGACACGATTTCCGGTCCTCCAGACACTACCACCTCATTCAGCCGCCACCAATAGACGAGAGGATCTTCCTCCGGGACAAACTCAAATTATCAAGAGAAGTATTAGTCTCTGCCTCTTCCACGTGTCGATTTCGAACGT